AAACCACTCAATGGAAAGCACTAAACATCATTACTTTGATTCACTGGATTTGAATTTCTGGAGCAAGTGCAGCATGTGTGACTTGATTTGCTCAACCCCCTGCTCACATGCCAAAAGGAAAGGGCTGCCAGCTGGATTTTACAGGTGCAGGTCTTTGAATTTCTGTGAATGAAAAGTGTGATTTAAGAAGGCAGGTATAAAAGCTGCAGGGTATTTTCTATAGAAGCAATTTACTATATATAAAAGACATAGTGACTTGCAGAAATGCCTTTTAAAAAATAATATGAACTCTGTCCCTTGGCTAATTGCTTTCTATCAATTATAACCTGCTCATATTTTTTAGGAATAATAAGGGTTGGAAATATTTCTCAAAAAAAATATTGCTTATCTCAGATTCTGTTGCAGATTCTGTCTTTATTTTCATGATGCACTCTGGATTTTGCTCATTTAATTTGTTACTACTAGTGCTGTTAAAAAAAGTATTATAGCTAGTGTTTTAAATATTCCTTTATTCATGCAGATGCTAAAAGAATAACTTTTTTCTTACTGAAGCCCATGGCAGAATAAAAAATATTAATGTTAGGATTAAATTTGGCCTAAATGTATTTATGGAATGATGTATTAAGGAAAAACTTTTCTGAAGTTCCTGTGGAAATGTTTATTCAGGATGGATAGATGAATGTAAACCTAAATTAAAATTTAGCATGATTAAAAACAGACCATCCATATTAGCCCATGTCTTTCCTTTTTCCTCTATTTCAGTATTAAGGGGGAAATGTTTGTTTTCATTTATGATTAACAGCATTTGCTCCATTTGTTGAATCTGGACAAACTGCAATTAATCATATTGTTAATGGAAACAAATTAGTTAATGTATTTGTTTAAAATGTTGAGCCATGTCCAGCACAAACAACAGGTAAGGTACTTATCTGAGAATTTACTACACAGCAAATCAAGGGCAGACTTGGATGATCAATCATTTGAATTACAGTACCAAGATAAACAACTGGCCCAGTGGTGGGATTCAACATTTTTTACTACCGGTTCTGTGGGCGTGGCTTGGTGGGCGTGACATGGTTTGGTGGGTATGGCAGAGGAAGGATACTATAAAATCTCCATTCCCTCCCCACTCCTGGGAGAAGGGTTGTGCAAAATGTCATTCCCTCTCACTAACCTGCTTTCTAGCTCCGTTCTCCTGTGCAGGGCACCATAAAAGACCCAGCCAATCAGCTGGGACTCAGGAAGCAGAGAATAGATGGGGCAGGGGCAGTCAGAGGTGGTATTTGCCAGTTCTCCGAACTAGTCAAAATTTCCGCTACCGTTTCTCCAGAACTGGTTAGAACCTGCTGAATACCACCTCTGAACTGGCCCACATTTCCTATTCCATTTTTTCCACATTTTTTTTTATTTTTTTTAAATGAAAGTTGCAGTTTGATCTAACTGGAATTTGAACCAATACAGATGGAATATATTTAAGGATTACTTTTGTGTCCATTTTGATGTGCACGTTTGAACTTTTTCAGAGAAAAAAAATTGAAAAAAGTTCATTGTAAAAAAATTGATAAGCATTAGGTGTTATGCTTTAACCTAACCAGAGTTTGAAACAAGAGTTTTATTTGTACCATCCTGTAGGTTAAAAAAATATCAACTTTAATATTTTATATAGATAGGGTATATCTCAAAGTTTATGAAGATGAATTATAGTAATTAAATATACACCCACTTTTCAAGCTACTCTTTTTTTGGGGGGGGGGACAAGAAGAACAGAAAAGCAATAAGAAATAGTGAGTCAAATAAATTAAATGAATAAAAAGAAAAGAAAACATACTTAAAAGTAATTTATACCATTACCTTCACTTATCTCTTCCTTTTGATCCATTCTTTCTTTCTTTGCAATTCATTATTTTTTTTCTATATAGGCAAACTACCACAGTATGGTTCTTTCATTCTCATCACTCACATTTATCTTCCATATACATTTATTCAGCACCAATTTGCTTACCTCTACTTCTTTATGTTTTCCTACACATATTTAACTACTATTTTTCCACTGTATTAAACTTTCTCTACATTTTTTCCTGATATGCTCAGTTCTTTTCCACCTGTATTATGCTTAAATCACAATATACTTGAAAACACATGCTTTTTTCCAAGCACACGTTTACCAAATAATCACTACTTTCATTCATCCTTGGATTTCCAAATGGCCAATTGCAGGATTCATTTATGAATTATGACTGGTGAAGAACTACAGGTTAGAATATTTTTAAAAAGGTAAATCATAGAAAAATATGACTATAGTAGAGAAAGATGAATTGAGCACCAGAAACAACTAGCACATATGTGCGAAGGGAACCTTTACCTTTGAGAAAGAAGAGTATAATGTAGCACCAAAAAGTCTTTGACTTTGAGGCTGTACTGGTCCAAAAGATCTCAGCTGAACTCATCTCCTGATGAATTCTATCTTTGATGGAAAATTGAAGGACCCACTCAGGACAGAAGACTCCTGAAAAAATCTGATGACTTGCCCTTCTTAATATTTCACCTTCATTTCTTGGTTGCTAGCTGACAACCAAGAGAAAAACACATCCTTATTGGATTAGCAATTCTCCAGATTTCTTAGTCATGAGGCAGTTCCAGCTTCTTTATTGAAAGTCACTGGACATTGTAAGGAATAAGGTTAATCAGGAGGTCAACCTCTGCATGAAACATAGCAGTTGACACCTATCTAAACAGTGCATTGAATTCTTGGTTTTTCCACTGAGCAGAATCTAAGTTTTATGATTTTGCAAAACATTCCACAAAATATGACTTCAGAAAATATCATTTAGTAGAAAAAGCATATTTACATTCTCATAATTTTTCAAGTCACTATATAAAATTACAGATTATTCATTTTGTTCTTGTCCTTGTAGTATTATTGTGCTATTCAATAACAATCCATGATCAAGCAAAAGAACCACATTTGGAGAGTTAAATAGTTTATTAAATATTTTACAACTTGAGCAATGGGACTTACCTAAATACATTTACTTTGTATAGGGTGAAGAAGGAGCTAAAGGAGAAAATGGCATTCCTGGCTTGCCTGGAACAAAGGTAGGATTCCTGTCTTAAAAGAGTTCTTGGATCATTTTCAGAACCAGCAGAACCAAAAGCAATGAACATAAGTTACAGCTATTTAGATGTTATTTAAATGTAAGGAATATTTGTACAGTTTTTGGAACAATTAATCTGTAAACAACCAGGCTTTGCAATTCTGAAAAAAATTTAAAAATAGGCTGAGCAGGGGACACAGGGCAGATGTTAATGTGGCTTTTGTGTTTAATATTTGAATAGTATCAATTATACAATATTTCTATTATTAGAAAACAATTTTGTGGGGCTGGAAAATCCCATTCATAGTCACCTTGCATCTGGGTTTTTGTCATGCATTGCCCTTGAAGACCACTCAGGAACTACCCCAGAACATGGCTTCACAAGCAATCACGGTCCATTTTGATATTTTGGTCTGAGACTCTTGTGCTCTGTGTTGCACTGATTACCAGTGGATGTCTGGCTGCAATTCAAGATGGTGATTGTCAGCTATTATGCCTATAGGGCTCAGAGCCTGGTTGTTTATGGAATGATCTGCCCATCCAATCAAATCTGACAATGGGTATTTTCCACTTCCCATTAATTAATCAGTGCTGCCTTGAAGAATGCAGAGGTATAACTCTTCTGTTCCTCCCAAAAGTTTGTTGGGCTCCAACCTTACCATCCTTTAGAAAAGTTCTTAAAAACTGGCTTTTCAAATAAACCAGAAGCCAAGTGATTTGTGATCCTGACTGGTAGAGGATGGATGATTGGTATTTGACTGTATTACCTATTGCTTACCTCCACCTAGTATTCTGCACTTCTCTATATGTTTTATATGTTTTTGAAAAGTGTTTATGTATGCTGCCCAGAGTTTTCTGATTAGGTGTCCTACAAATCTAAATCAATCAATAACACGCAACACACTCTCCAGCCATATGTCTTCTTTTTTCTTACCACTTTTAGAAAGGTTTGATGGTACTAGGAAAAATGTCTGGTAGAAAAAGATTTGGAGAGATTTTTAAGTAGGCAGTTTTAAATCTTCCAAGTACGATCACCAGAAAACAAGCACATTCATGTGTGAACAGTAACTGCAGTCACCGCAATGTTACAAGCCAGTTCTAAAAAGTTTTATATAACCATGCCTTAGTTATATTGCAAAATTGCATTCTAGTCATTTCTATAATTTAATATTCAAGAAAAATAGTAGTGGTGCAATGAATAAAAATATTATGGATGGAAAAATAAATTCATTTATGATTTCTGTTAGACCTGGTCACTGTTTTAATTTTAAATTGATAAATATTTTCCCTTTCAGAATCAATATTAGCAGTTCAAATCAGCCTTCTCCAATCTTCAGATATGTAGACATCAATTCCTAGAACTCTCCAAGCAGTTGGAGTTAAGAAATCTAGGAGTTGAACACAACTGGAGAATATCCAGATTACAAAGGTCTGCTCTATGCATTGCTGCAGAAATGAGGATTTTTTTTCCATCTTAGATGAGATGTCAGCTGGCCTAATGGAGCCTATGAAAGTTGTTTAGAATTCAGTGAGTGCATCTTCATCTTATCTTCCATAAGTAAATCATTCTTTTATATGAAATTATTCCCAAGTTAGACATATAGTAGTTCTAAACAGTTTCAAATATCACAGTGCACAAAACATTTGAGTCATTTATTTGATGTTTCAATGTTTATGACATTTGCACTTTTCTCCAAGCTTCCAATAGTAATAGAAATTCATGTTTCTTCTCTGTCCTGGAGGTACCAATTACCTTTTTGTGTTTTTGATATTCTGCCGGAAAGTAAAGGACAGAAAAGGCTGCAGGAAGAACTTTAATTATTTTTATTTCTTCATTAATGCAATATTTTTAATGACCAATGAATAAGAGTTGATGCAGTTTACAATTTGTTTTAGGGAGAAAATGGTCTGATTGGTGTTCCTGGTACTTCTGGTGAAAAGGTACATATATAATCTTTGGGTCTGTAGTTTGCATTTGGTGTCATAGTTATATTTTTGGTGGTTACATGCCAGAAATGTGGCTAGCCAGATTCAACTGCTTCAAATTTATCTATGAACAGAGAATAAAACTTATTGGTGACCTGTTCCATAAATGTTTCTTGAAGTCAATATTCTAGACAAGGCTTCCCTCCAATAAACATGCAAGTTACAGTGCACAATTTACCCACATCAATTGATTTATTTGGATATGAAAGAGAGACAGATTTTTGGTGGTATAACATTGTTACTATGTAATAAAAAGTGCAATTCAATTCCCACTATTTTTTTTTTGTTTAAAATCTATTCTGATTGCCTGCTAAGATAAATCAAAGGTCTCAGTTCAAATTAAATATAACATAAGGGTATCTTGGGTGAATTCCAATAATTTAATTTCTAATAACTTTGGATGAAGATTTAGAATATCATATTCTAATCCAATTAAAATATCACATTCTAATCCAATGAGAAAATGAGAAAATCCATATTTGGCCTATAGCAATTTGTATAACATCAAGTTGAAAGCCTCTTCTAACTCCAGCCACCTCTGCCAATTCCAGTTTGTATGAATGTACTGTATATCTCAGATGATTTTTCATAATCTAATACTATCCAAGCCTGGAACTGCCTACAGTAAGTATATGAAAGTAGTTTTCACAGGATCAATAATTTGTAAACTTCATGCCAGGATTACTACCTGAATGTTAGCAAAACAAATATGTTCAGTGCAGTAGTAAACTTTTAAAGATTATTAGTGTTATAGATCAGGAAATGAGAGGCTAGACCAGAGCATTAACAAGGAATGGCTTTATTCAATGGAATAAAGGGCTGTCGCGTCTGCATACTAACAAGCAGACATGCTCAGCGAACAGCGGCTGGCTCGACCTAGCAGCCGGCTTTTATAGCCGGCTGTCGAAGGGAGCCAGCCAATGGGAGCTGTAAACGCCCCCGTAGTATAGACGGACTTGGTTGGGAACTTTGGTCAGTTCCAAGGACATAACACCCCTTCCCCCCAGATGCGAACATGAATAGTCTTTTAAATATGCAGGCGGTCTGTGCGGGCGCCCGGACCGGCGCAGTTCTGGTGAGTCACTGAGTGGCACAGAATTCAGAGGATCAGGATTGGTGGGTGCTGGAGAGCGGGGTTGCTCTGGGACCTGCTCTGGCGTCTGTGAATAGTCTCTGCCACCGGGTTGGCTTGTAGTATAGTCATTGTCCAACAACCCGGTGGCTTCGCTGGTCGGCAAAGCAGATGACTCTGGCGGACGGTCCCGGTCTACCGTCCGTTCCCCTCGCTCGGTCGGTGGTGACAGGCCCCTCAGATGGTCCTCGATCGGATTCTGGTGTGGTGACTGGAGATATACCGGAGTCCATGGTTCAGCATTGGCATGATCACTCTGGCGCTTCCTTATCTGATCCAGATGTCTCCGCCAAACTCGCCCGTCCTCCAGTTGAACTTGGTACGATCTCGGACCGGTGATGGCCACGACTCTCCCGGGTACCCATAGCGGATCGCCGGCGTAGTTCCTGACAAACACTGGGTCCTGCAACACAAAATCTCTGACCCTGCCGTCAGACCCGATAGGAGTGTCAGGGCAATAATGGGGATGCAGCCTGTCTAGCACTGTTCTCAGGCGTCTGCCCATTAGGAGCTCGGCAGGAGACTTGTTTGTAACCGTACAGGGGGTCGTGTGTTGGCTCAAGAGAAAACGGGAGAGCCTAGAGTGCCAGTCCTCTTGATTGAATCTGGCCAATGCCTCCTTTGTTGACCTAACGGCTCTCTCTGCCAACCCGTTGCTGGCAGGATGAAAGGGGGCTGTTAAGATGTGCCGGATGCCCAGGTTGGTGACATACCGGCTGAATTCTGTAGACGTAAATTGGGGGCCATTGTCCGAGACTAGAGTGTCAGGCAGCCCGTGTGTTACAAATAAATGGGTCAGGGCTTGGGCAACTGCCCGGGTGGTGGTCGTGGGTAGTAGGGCCACGTCGATCCACTTGGAATACGAGTCCACGACCACCAAGAAGGTTTTGCTGTGCATTGGCCCGGCCAAGTCAATGTGCAGCCGAGACCACGGTGCATTGGCACTCTCCCACTTGGTTGGGGTGGTGATTGGCGGTGCTGGCCTGGATTCCTGACAGGGTCGGCAAGAGCTTACCCATTTGGCGATCTCGTCGTCCATGCCTGGCCACCAGACGTAACTCTGAGCCAACGCCTTCATCCGGACGATGCCTGGGTTACCCTCGTGCAGCGCCTTCAGGACGGGTGTGCGCAGGGAGTTTGGGATGACGACTCTGTTCCCCCACAACATGCAGCCCTGTAAACTAGAAAGCTCTTGCTGGCGGGTTTTAAATGGTGTGAATTCAGTTGTGAAATTAGTGACCGGCCACCCCCTCCGCACCCAGTCCAGAACCTGGGCGATTGTTTTGTCTTTTTTGGAGTGAAAGGCGATGTCGCCTGAGGTGACAGGTAGGTTGAGCTCGCTGACATCGAAGATGGCATGGACTGGAGCCGGGCCCTCCACAGGGGTTGGCAGCGGGCAGCGGCTGAGGGCGTCGGCGTGGCTTAGGTTTTTTCCCGGGCGGTGAACGAGTTTGTACGAGTAGGCTGCCAGGAACAAGGTCCACCTTGTCATCCTGGGTGACAAGACTTGGGGTGTTTGTTTGTCCCCCGACAGCAACCCCAGAAGCGGCTTGTGGTCTGTGATGAGTTCGAATTTGTGACCAAAAAGAAATTCGTGGAATTTTTTTACCGCAGCAACTGCGGCTAGGGCCTCTTTATCAATCTGGCTGTAATTATGCTCGGTTGGTGAAAAGGTTCTGGAAAAGAAAGGGATTGGTGCCTCGGAGCCGTTGGGGAGTCTGTGGCTTAAGACAGCCCCAATCCCAAAGGGGGATGCGTCTGCTGCTAAGACTAAAGGGAGGCGCTGGTCGAATTGGATTAGGACAGCGTCTGAGGTGAGCGGCGATTTGACTGCTTTAAAGGCATAATCCTCTTTGGGTCCCCAATGCCATGGTGCATTTTTGTCTAGAAGTCTGTGTAACGGTTCGGCTACTGACGCTTTGTGGGGTAAGAACGAAGCGTAGAAATTTAATAAGCCAAGGAAAGCCTGTAATTCAGACTTTGTGGAAGGCGTGGGTGCCTCGTGAATTGCTTTGACTTTAGATTCCACTGGGTGAATGCCAGAGGCGTCTATTCTATACCCAAGAAAGTCCACCTGTTTAGTGGCGATGGCACACTTCTCCCTTTTTAGCTTGAGGCCATGCTGTCTGAACTTGTCTAAAACCGCTCTGACTCTTTGGAAAAGTTGGGGTCTGTCCCTGGCTGAGACCAATATGTCATCAAAATAAGGAACCACGCCAGGGAGGCCTTGGAGTATTCGTTCCATTAATGACTGAAAAATGCCTGGGGCAACACTAACGCCAAATTGGAGACGCCGGCACCTAAATGCCCCTCTGTGAGTGACAATAGTTTGTAAATCGGCCGTTTGACTGTCAACAGGAAATTGCTGATAAGCCTGTGACATATCCAATTTGGCGAAAATGGTGCCAGGCTCAAATGTGTGGAGTAAGTGCTGGATTACCGGGACTGGGTAAGCGCTAACCTGTAGGTAGCGGTTAATTGTGGTTTTATAATCAGAACAAATTCTTAAACTGCCATCCTTCTTAAGGGGTGTGACAATTGGGGTTTCCCACTTAGCAAAATCCGTGGGCTCAATTACCCCCTGTTTGAGTAATTTGTCCAGTTCCGCGTCCAGTTTAGGGCGTAGCGCAAATGGTACTCTACGCGGTTTTAAACGGACGGGAACTGCTTGGGGGTCCACTGAAAAAGAAATGGGTGTGCCATTGTAACAGCCTAATTCGTTGCTGAACACATCAGCGTAGTCTGCAAATAGGGAGTCAATATCGGGAGTTGAGACAGCATGGACTCCCGTTAAGCTAAGACCGAGATAGGGGAACCAATCCAACCCCAACAGGGTAGGGAGGGCACCGTCAACGACCACTAAGGGCAGATGGCCTTTAAAGGATTTGAATTTAACGAGGAACTTGCCTTTTCCGAGTACTGGAATATTCTTTCCTTGATAGTCCCTCAAGGTGAGGTGGCTCTTCTGGAGTTGGCTCCTAGACAGACTGGGCCGGATTTTCTTAAGAGTGTTCCACGAGATGATCGAGAGCGCCGACCCGGTATCGACTTCCATGAGGCAAGGTTTACCTTCTAAATGAATAGAAAGTGTGATTTTATTACGTGTCAGAAAAGTGTGATTAGCTTGGTAGCAAGTATAACAGTTTTTTACTTGCCTTGGTGGCTCCGGCGGAGAGTAAGAGGACGAAGACCTCTGTGGTGCCACGTGTGCCACCTGGCAGGCTCTGGCGATGTGACCTTTTTTGCTGCAGTTGTTGCAGGTAGCGTTTCTGAACCTGCAAGTCGTTCGGGCATGGGGGCCCCCGCAGGACAGGCATAACAGGATGTGCTTTGGTGCGTTGCTGTTCCCGCGCCTTGCCCCTACCTGTGATTGCCTCAAGGGATTGAGACGATGAACGTCCGAGTGTTCAGTAGGGTCTTCCTCACTCACCGCTTCCTCGGAGTGAACAGTGGCAGAACTGGGCTTGGGGGTGGTCCCTTGGATTTCAGCGGCTGACTGGGTCGCTAGTTCTGCGGCTAAGGCTTCTTCAACCGCTTGGGAGAGGTTGAGATCTTTTCTGGCCAGCAAACGCCTCTGTAGTCTTAAGTCTTTGACTCCACAAACGAGTTGATCGAGTAACATGTCGTCCAGGTAATTTTTGAACTCGCAGTGGAGAGCTGCTGTCCTCAGGGTGGCCATGTATTGATTTATGGATTCCCCATCTGCTTGCTTCCTCATCCGGAAGGCAAAACGTCTCGCGATTTGCGACGGTTTAGGGGAGTAATGATTTGAAAGTGTTTCCAGCAGCTCTGGCCATGGAACGCTCTTGATTTCTCGTGGAGCAAGGAGGGCTGTTGCGGTATCGAAGACTGCAGCCACAGTAGCTGAGGAAGTATGACTTTATTCGGTGCTCCGCTGCATCAGCCAGACCGATGGCATCGATATAGTGATTGAAGCGGTTTCTATAAGAGTCCCACTTCTCTTCATCCGGCTTAAAGGGCGGAAATGCTGGGTTAGCGTTCATATTGGCGCCTCAGTCAATGGTAGACTGCCCTCTCTCTGGGTATACGAGGCCCAATAAGTGCTCACGTGAGCGCAGGCGGCTGTGGCTGCAGCGATTCACCTGGCTCAATGACTTCAGCTCTGTACTAGTGAGCATTAGAGGCTCTTGCTGTAACGCTGTGACTATTCAGCAATCTTTTTGAATCTCGCTCTCCCGGAGAGCGTTGGCGGATGCACTGACAGAGATTCAAATTTCGCACTCTCTGGGCGCGTAGGCAGCTGTGGACACAGCGCTGAGCTTCACTTGAGTTTCGAATTCAAACGACAGCAGTTTGAATTTCGCGCTCTTTTTCTCGAGCGGGGTGGCTGTAGCTTCAGCACCTGACTTCACTCTCTCTCTCTGTAGCTTCCTGTGCGAGCGGCTACAGACACTTCACTTTCACTTAGCTAACTAGCGAACTGACCGAGCTCTCTGCTTCGCGGCTGCGGTTCAATTGCCTATCGTGACTTCAGCTCAATGGAATGCTTCTGGTTAGCCATCCCACCTTCGTCGCCAGTGTTATAGATCAGGAAATGAGAGGCTAGACCAGAGCATTAACAAGGAATGGCTTTATTCAATTGAATAAAGGGCTGTCGCGTCTGCATACTAACAAGCAGACATGCTCAGCGAACAGCAGCTGGCTCGACCTAGCAGCCGGCTTTTATAGCCGGCTGTCGAAGGGAGCCAGCCAATGGGAGCTGTAAACGCCCCCGTAGTATAGACGGACTTGGTTGGGAACTTTGGTCAGTTCCAAGGACATAACAATTAGCACCCACAAGTACCTCAGTAAAATACCTGCTGTTAAGGGCTTTCTCTCAAAAGTATAATTTTGTAGGAAGTTCTGAAGATATCACAATTATTGTTGCATGTTGAAAAATGCTAAGTAGAATTCAATCTACTCCGGGAGAACTTTCTGTTATCAAAATATAATGGATATTTTCTGTGAAATTGATTTTTTTCTATTTGAAGTAATTATGTTTTGAACTGTTCTGTTTTAATAATGAAAAACATATATAACCTTAGCATTTTTCCAGATGAAGATGATAAAAAAGAGGTGGAAAGAAATCTCTCTCTTTTCCTGTGAATTAAAATTATATTTGGTCATTGTTTAAAAACAATCTTTAAGCAGAATTTTCACTTAAATATAACAACTTAAAAACAATAATGACTTTTTATATTTCTCTCAACTATAGGGTGAGCCTGGCTTGAAAGGGAACAAAGGTGAAGTAGGAGAAAAGGTAAATTATACTGATTTTTGCAAATTGATTTTGTGTAATAATTTTGAACTTTATATGATATCCATCTCTTATTATTTTGTATACAAATTCCTGCCCTGTGTGAGTGAATGACACATACTTTAATTACAAAGCATATGGTGACTAATAATAAGACTGCTTAAAATGTAATAATAATGTTGTCATTGGATTTTAAAATTTACCAAAAAAGACATATGTTTGCTAATAGTAGTTGGATATACAGCAACCAACCAAATAATTCTTTTAAAAACAGTTTGGATTGTTTTTCACTTTCAGGCCGGCTTTGATAATATTTTTTAATTTAATGAAAGGCAATTATTTATTTAGGGTTTTGTCTGCTGTTTCTTCCATTCCATTTATTTGTTCATATGCTCATTTCTCTTGTTATATATTCTCATGCATACAGATGTTAAAGTTGTCCAATTCTTAGAAGGCTGATATAAAAATAATAATAAATTGGACATTAAATGAAAGTTTTTAGGTCCTAGTTCATTGTTTCTTAATTTTTTTTTGCTTCCTCTTCCCACTTTTAAAATTTATGGAGAACCCAAAAGAGCTTTTGTTTATATTGGCTATATTTATTAATATTTACCACATTAAAATTTCAAATAGATACACTTGCTGCTATAAATGCTTTTCATGATTGTTTGGTGGGATTTTAATATTGCATTATTTTTCAACATAGAGGTGATTTGATGGACCCTTAAAAGTGTATTGGGGGACTATGAGGAATCCTTGGACCACAACCAGTGTCCTTGATCAGTCTGTGGTTTAATTCACAAATTAAGCAATATAAAGCTATATTTGCAAGATGTGCTTATTGTGGTTTATTCACCCCCCACCCCACCCCCCAAAAAACCACCATCAAAATTTGCAGCTAACCAGCCATAATTTTTCCAAGTGGCTTGAAACGTGGTAATACCAATTTCTTGAAAACAACTGAATAGTTCAAGTCTTTAAAATGGCAGGTTTTATGGATCCAAGAGTAATTGACCTTGTAGGATTACAAGCGATATGTCAGAAAGAATAAACTGAGAAGTTGTATTTACTGCTAATAATAGTTATGTGACAAAGTTTTGAAAAATATTCCTGCAGCCTCTGTTCAGCAAGTTCTTAATTTTAAATTGTTATTTATGGGTTAAACAGGTTCCCAACAGTTTAGCCAAAATCCTTGTTTTGCTATTGTATTTTGAGGGACTTTAGATGATGATGACATTCAGACTGAAAAGCCTTTGGGTTCGGCTTTCTTCGTTTAGGAGCAGTCTTTGAACACGAGTGTCCATTAATACAAAGTTTCCTGATTTTGGTCTTGACTCCAAGAAGTCTGTGGCAATATTATAAGAGTTTCTGAGTGCTTAAAAAGAATTAGTAATCAACACTTGTTTTCTTTATTAATAATTATAGGCTTTGTGATATTTATTGATGTTACCGGACATGCATAGGAGTTTAAAGCATGAAGCCAAAAGTTAAGGGAAAAAAAATATGTCTAGAGTATTTTTAAAAATTCAACACAGGAATAAACGTACTACTGGTACTTTCTGAAGCAAATTTGACTGTATTCCCATCCTTGCAATAAGGAGAAAACCCACCTGTATGGTCACTGAGAGTCAACTTGATAACATATTTGTTTTCACATAACCAATCATTTGAAATCCAGACAAGGGATTTTGCAAATTCAAACTAAAAATCCATAAAGTTAATTCAGGAACAGATGCTGTTATAAGTTAATTCCATTCCAATGTAAGAATTGCCTATAAAAATATTGCTTAGTACTTTGTACTTTAAAAATGTGGGAGATAGTATGTTAAAAGATCATAAACATCTCAAAAAAATTATATGGGCACATATGAAATAAGGGATGGTAACATTATTTGAAAGGAAGTACTTGAATAACTTCCTGAACAGCATGGTGAACTGAGCACAAATCTGCTTTTTGTGGAGCCAATGAACATGGCCAAAATAGAAGTCAGTAAAAGGATTGGCTTCTTGGAATTCTTCTCCAAATTAAGGAGAAGATGAAGAGATTGCAAATCAGCAGGTTTGAAAGGTCTGAGGCCTGGGGGTGGGGGGGTGGGGGGGATATTCATGTTGCCTAAGCCACACTTCAATGCCTTTCAAAGAGACCCTGGGTTTTCATATTTCCTCTCTTAGTTACTTTAGGAAATTGCTTATTATTGACTTTTGGGGGGTAAAAGCCTTCTGAAAGACAAGCTGCTTTATACTGTGAGAGGTTTCTTCCACTCTGGATGGAACGATCTCTAAGTTTAGCAAGAAAAACTGTAATGTTTGGAAATCAGCAAAATGGAATCTGTAATGTTGATTTTGGAAAATTAAGGTGTTATGTTTGGGAAATGAGAGGCTGAACCAGGGCATGGATGCAACAAATACTTTATTAGAATAATAAAGGACTGAACGTGCTTGCCAAGCCTGGAACTGGCTCGCAGCGATCAGCAACTGGTTGGACCCCGCAGCCTGCTTTTATAGCTGGCTGCTGGGGAGAACCAACCAATGAGCGAGGGGGCAGCCGCCCCCGCGGCGCGAACGGACCTGAGTGGGAACTCCTTAGAGTTCCAGGGACATAACACCCCTTTCCCCCAGATGCGAACACGCATAGTCTTTAAGGTAGGCCGGAGGTTTATGCTGGCGCCCAGAACGGCGCAACTCTGGTGGGTTGTCTGTCAGTTCAGAGTCTGTAGGGGAAGGCTGGATCGGTAGGGAGTCACGAACGCGTCCCTCAGTGCGGGTTGGCTCGGGACTCGTAGGGCTGGTCACTGGGGACGAGCTCCCGTTGACTGGTTCGGACTGGTCAGCCATCTGGAAGTCGCTGTCCGTGTTCGGATTCTCTGGATCGGCTGCTGGTGTAAGCAGGTCACCGGAATTGGTGCTGATGTGGGGTTGATGCTGTGGCCTCGCCCCGGTCTGTAATTCTGAGTCACTGCTGACGAGAGTGCTGTGGCGCCTCCGCAGCTGGTCCAGGTGCCTTCTCCAGACTCGGCCGTCCTCCAGTCTGACTCGATATGACCTGGGTCCGGTGATGGCCACGATCTCGCCCTGGATCCACAGAGGGTCTCCAGCGAAGTTCCTCGCGAACACGGGTTCCTGTAAGACAAAATGCCTAACCCCCGATGTGGAAGTGAGGGGAGAGTCAGGGCAGTAATGTGGGTGAAGCCTGTCCAATACAGTCCGCAGGCGTCTGCCCATCAGGAGCTCAGCTGGGGACTTATTAGTGACTGTGCACGGGGTTGAGTGCTGGCTCATCAAGAAACGGGAGAGTTTGTGGTGCCAGTCTTCCTTGCTGAACCTAGCTAGGGCTTCTTTAGTGGTCCTAACGGCTCTTTCAGCCAATCCGTTACTGGCAGGATGAAAGGGGGCCGTGAAGATGTGGCGGATGCCCAGGTTGGCAGCGAAACGGCTGAACTCGGCTGATGCGAACTGGGGGCCATTGTCGGAAACAATAGAGTCTGGAAGCCCGTGTGTTACAAACAGGCGAGTTAATACCTTGGTAATCGCTTGTGTGGTGGTTGTGGATAGTTGTGCTACGTCAATCCACTTAGAGTAGGAGTCTACGACCACCAGGAACATTTTTCCATGCAACGGGCCGGCTAGGTCGATGTGAATTCTGGACCACGGAGCGCTGGCGCTTTCCCACTTAGTGGGGGTGGCAATTGGAGGGGCTGGACGGGATTCCTGGCAGGGATGGCAGGAGCTTACCCATCTGATGATGTCTTCGTCGAGGCCCAGCCACCATACGTAGCTGCGTGCTAATGCCTTCATTCTGACGATGCCAGGGTGCCCCTCGTGCAACGCCTCCAGAACTCGGGTACGCAGTGAGGTCGGGATGACCACTCGTGTGCCCCACAGCAAACAGCCCTGCAAACTGGATAATTCCTGTAGGCGGGTCTTGAAAGGCGTAAATTTGGTTTCAACATCACCGCCCAGCCACCCCCTCCTCACCCAGTCCAGTACCTGGGCGATCGTTGTGTCAGTCTTGGATTTGGCCGCAATGTCAAGGGCAGTGATGGGGAGGTCCAATTGGGTGACCTCAAAAATAGCATGGACCGGTGAGGGCGTCTGCGTGGGACAACGTTTTACCTGGACGGTGTATGAGTCTATACGAGTATGCCGCTAGAAAAAGAGTCCATCTCGTCATTCTAGGAGACAGGACTTGAGGGGTCTGTTTGTCCCCAGCTGGTAGACCCAGGAGAGGCTTATGATCCGTGACCAGCTCGAAAAAGTAGCCAAAGAGAAATTCGTGAAATTTCTTCACTGCTGCGACAGCTGCTAGAGCTTCCTTATCGATTTGGCTATAATTTCGCTCTGTCGCAGAGAGCGTCCTGGAAAAAAAAGCGATGGGAGCTTCGGAGCCATTGGGGAGCCTGTGGCTTAACACTGCCCCAATTCCAAAAGGGGATGCGTCTGCTGCTAGCACTAATGGAAGGTTGGGGTCGAACTGAATAAGGACCGCCTCTGACGTGAGTAATGATTTGACTGCGCGAAAAGCGGAGTCTTCTTTGTGACCCCAGTGCCAAGGCGATTTTTTATCCAACAGTCTGTGCAGGGGTTCTGCCACTGATGCTTTGTGGGGCAGGAAGGATGCGTAAAAATTCAATAGTCCCAAGAAGGCCTGCAGTTCCGCTTTGGAGGTTGGAGTGGGTGCCTCGTGAATTGCCTTAACCTTGGACTCCAGGGGGTGAATGCCTGAGGCGTCAATTTTATAACCCAGAAAGTCCACCTGTCTAGTGGCAATGGCACATTTTTCTTTTTTTAATTTGAGGCCATGCTGTCTGAACCTCTCTAACACTGCTCGAACTCTCTGGAAGAGTTGGGGTCTGTCCCTGGCCGAGACTAAGATGTCGTCGAAGTAGGGTACTACGCCAGGGAGGCCCTGCAAAATCCGCTCCATGAGGGATTGAAAAATGCCAGGGGCAACACTTACGCCAAATTGGAGACGCTTACACCGGAAAGCAGCCCTGTGAGTGACA